TACCCCCCAAATGACCCATTTTGCAATGTGGACAGTCTGAGGTATTTCATAAGAGGCATGGTGAGTTTTTTTAAGTTGTAATTTTTTGTCACAATTTTAAAATATTATTTTTGTTTCCCTATTTTCTTTTGTTTTTTTGACATACGGTCACCAGTGCAGTACAGTATCGTCATATAATTGGTGTGGCGTTGATCAGGGACACTGACTGTGACAGTATGCCAAAAAAAAATACTTTTATTATTTTTCAAATCCTAATATTTTTTTAACATACTGTGATGAGAGCAATATAGTGTTAACATAGTAACATTGTACTACTCTGAGCAAGTGATCAGGATTTTTTTTTTTTTTTTTTACACACTATGATTGCTTATACCTGTGAATTTCACTGATAAGCAACCAATTTTCTTCAATAAAATTGATTCATTTAGTATTTACTATTGTTGTTAGTTGTGGTTTGTCACAGCTAATCACATGGTACAGGTGGGATGTGATTGGCTCTGTCTGTTGTCTGTACCATGTGATTATTGTGACCAATCACATAGATCAACACAATTGTACACAATGGATGGCATGAATGAATTCCATCCATTGTGTACAGTTGTCATGGGATCTGCTGTGATTGGCCACAGCGATCACATGGTACCAGCAACTGGTACACTGATTGGCATTCACTGTGTCCGGTGGACACAGCGGGTGACAGATTGTGCTGCAGCGCGGACTGGGGAGGACGTCCTATGACGTCCACCTGGAACGACAAGTGTCCCACCCACCTGTCATTTGACAATAGGCGGTAAAACTGCGGCTCAACTGCATAATTTGTTTTTTACCACCCCTGGCTACAAGTGTAAACAAGCCCTAGGATCCATTCACATCTGGCTCTGACAGGATCACTACAGTGCAAATCCTTTTGCATTGCGCAGTTGCCTTTTTTTTTTGTAAATTAAGTTTATTGAAATGTCAAACAGACATTTCATTAAGTTCAATTGGCCACCATGTGGTGTGTGGATTGTCTTGCACTGCGCTGAAAAAAATGTACTGCATGCAGTACCAGAGCCAGGCACACAGAAGACAGGGAATTTTGCCTTGTCGTGCAGTGGGACTGCGCTGGAATACCCGCCCAGTGCAGTCCTATCTCATCTGGTGTAAATAAACCCTTGAAGTATAACTAAAGGCAAGACTTCATTCTCTTCAGTTCTTTGGAGGATACATCTGCTTTTTAATCACTAAATGGTAGAGATATACCCTGTCAGAGCTGTGTCCTCCGATGAATGCAGAGAAAAAGATATTATAGTGAGTGCATATTTATGAAAATATAATTTTTTTTTTTTTTTTTTGAATGGAGTGGTAAAGGGTGTGGAGGCAAGTATACAAGCAAGGTGAGGTTATCCCAGCTCTCGTTAAAGCGGAATGTCACTCATAAATTGAATTCTCACTGGTTCCTTCCTCTGTAAGATGTTTAATGTGTTTTATTGTCATTTGTCTTTTTCTGACATTTTGGTAATCATTTTTCTCTTGGGTCCCAGTGCAGTAACAATCTTCTTGTTTGGGTCCTCAAATTAAAAAGTTAAAGAACCCTTGCTCTACGCTGTTGGTAAACCTAAAGAAGATTGTATAATCAAAGCGTGCTGTGTACCAGTTTGATTGTACTGTATCCATGCAACATGCCAACAGCTGGCTTCAAATGTCTTGTCAGCCCTGAAGTGCAGAATGTGTGATTGGAACAATATAGTGTAAATGGCAATGATCTGCAATCACCTCCATGGCCACAGGTGTATAAAATCAAGCACCTAGGCATGCAGACTGCTTCTACAAATATTTGTGAAAGAATGGGTCTCTCAGGAGCTCAGTGAATTCAAGTGTGGTACTGTGATAGGTACTGTGCAATAAGTCCATCTGTGACATTTCCTTGCTACTAAATATTCCACGGTCATCTGTTAGTGCGCAGAAGTCGCCAACTGTCTGCAGAGTCAATAGCTAAAGACCTTCAAACTTCGTGTGGCCTTCAGATTAGCACAACAGTGTGTAGAGATCTTCATTAAATGGGTTTCCTTGGCCGAACAGCTGGTGTGGGGTTGCTTTTCAGGGTTGAGCTTGGCCCCTTAGTTCCAGTGAAGGGAACTCTTAAGGCATCAGCATACCAAGACATTTTGGACAATTTCGTGTTCCTAACTTTGTGGGAACAGTTTGGGGATGGCCCCTTCCTGTTCCAACATGACTGTGCACCAGTGCACAAAGCAAGGTCCATAAAGACATGGATGAGCGAGTTTGGGGTGGAGGAACTTGACTGGTCTGCACAGAGTCCTGACCTCAACCCAATAGAACACCTTTGGGATGAATTAGAGCAGAGACTGCAAGCCAGGCCTTTTCATCTGACCTATCAAATGTGCTTCTGGAAGAATGGTCAAACATTCCCATAGACACACTCCTGAACCTTGTGGACAACCTTCCCAGAAGAGTTGAAGCTGTTATAGCTGTAAAGGGTGGACCCACTCAATATTGAACCCCACAGACTAAGACTGGGATGTCATTAAAGTTCATGTGCGTATAAAGGCAGGCATCTCAATACTTTTGGCAATATAGTGTATGTTCAGATTTTTCAGAAGTAAAATGGCTGATGAAAATCTCAACGTTTAAAAATGGGCAGATATTGAAATTGCTTAGAACTAATTTACGCTGTCATTTTTCTACGGAACTCATTTACAAAATGCAGCCCTGCATGGTTCCATTTATTCCTATGGAACGTAAACCCTGTGAAAACCATTGGCAACATGTCAGACTTTTTACTTAGGGGTTAGTAACGCAGTTTCTTAGCAAAAGTATGTTGATTCATCAGGCTGTTAGTGTTTTGCTGTAAATATTGTAAGTGAGAAAATGCAAACTGTGACAAACATTTTTCTGTGCCAGTATTTGATTGTGATGTCTTTAATACTTTTAGATTGATGCTGGTTTGACATATCTGATTAGAACTTCCTGAAGAATTCAGCTGTATGAGTGGACCGAAAACTGTAAGTTATTTGTGTACTAGTACGCATTCTGCTGTTAGATACAACTTTGCAGTTGTGTTTAGTTCCTTTTTTTTAATGTCTTATCACAGATCAGATGTATGGAAGAGTTTTCTTGGGTAATCTCTTTTGCACCGTATCCATTTAGGGTTACAAACTTTCATTCACTAGCTCTCATATTTAAGGACAAGTTTAAATTTGATTGCTGTAAGGCAGTGTCGAATGAAACAAACACTTTTTTAAACAAATAAGGGCCATAGTCATTTCCTATTATACAGTCAGGTCCATAAATATTGGGACATCGACACAATTCTAACATTTTTGGCTCTATACACCACCACAATGGATTTGAAATGAAACAAACAAGATGTGCTTTAACTACAGACTGTCAGCTTTAATTTGAGGGTATTTACATCCAAATCAGGTGAACGATGTAGGAATTACAACAGTTTGCATATGTGCCTCCCACTTGTTAAGGGACCAAAAGTAATGGGACAATTGGCTTCTCAGCTGTTCCATGGCCAGGTGTGTGTTATTCCCTCATTATCTTAATTACAATGAGCAGATGAAAGGTCCAGAGTTCATTTCAAGTGTGCTATTTGCATTTGGAATCTGTTGCTGTCAACTCTCAAGATGAGATCCAAAGAGCTGTCACTATCAGTGAAGCCATCATTAGGCTGAAAAAACAAAACAAACCCATCAGAGAGATAGCAAAAACATTAGGCGTGGCCAAAACAACTGTTTGGAACATTCTTAAAAAGAAGGAACGCACCGGTGAGCTCAGCAACACCAAAAGACCTGGAAGACCATGGAAAACAACTGTGGTGGATGAGCGAAGAATTCTTTCCCTGGTGAAGAACACCCTTCACAACAGTTGGCCAGATCAAGAACACTCTCCAGGAGGTAGGTGTATGTGTGTCAAAGTCAACAATCAAGAGAAGACTTCACCAGAGTGAATACAGAGGGTTCACCACAAGATGTAAACCATTGGTGAGCCTCAAAAACAGGAAGGCCAGATTAGAGTTTGCCAAACGACATCTAAAAAAGCCTTCACAGTTCTGGAACAACATCCTAAAGACAGATGAGACCAAGATCAACTTGTACCAGAGTGATGGGAAGAGAAGAGTATGGAGAAGGAAAGGAACTGCTCATGATCCTAAGCATACCACCTCATCAGTGAAGCATGGTGGTGGTAGTGTCATGGCGTGGGCATGTATGGCTGCCAATGGAACTGCTTCTCTTGTATTTATTGATGATGTGACTGCTGACAAAAGCAGCCGGATGAATTCTGAAGTGTTTCGGGAATATTATCTGCTCATATTCAGCCAAATGCTTCACAACTCATTGGACGCTTCACAGTGCAGATGGACAATGACCCAAAGCAGACTGCAAAGGCAACTAAAGAAGTGGAATGTTATGCAATGGCCAAGTCAATCACCTGACCTGAATCCGATTGAGCATGCATTTCACTTGCTGAAGACAAAACTGAAGGGAAAATGTCCCAAGAACAAGCAGGAACTGAAGACAGTTGCAGTAGAGGGCTGGTAGAGCATCACCAGGGATGAAACCCAGCGTCTGGTGATGTCTATGCGTTCCAGACTTCAGGCTGTAATTGACTGCAAAGGATTTGCAACCAAGTTTTAAAAAGTGAAAGTTTTTGATTTATGATTATTATTCTGTCCCATTACTTTTGGTCCCTTAACAAGTGGGAGGCACATATGCAAAACTGTTGTAGTTCCTACACCGTTCACCTGATTTGGATGTAAATACCCTCAAATTAAAGCTGACAGTCTGCAGTTAAAGCACATCTTGTTCGTTTCATTTCAAATCCATTGTGGTGGTGTATAGAGCCAAAAATGTTAGAATTGTGTCAATGTCCCAATATTTATGGACCTGACTGTATTTTTCCTATTTGCTTTGCTACATTTTATTCTCTGTTTACATACAACCATGGTGATGTAAAATTGATATTTGTATCTGCTTTCAGATTGCAGAAATATGAATGAACATCCTAAGAAACGGAAAAGAAAGACTTCTTTTCCATCTCGGTATGCAGGACAGACAAGTGCAAATGCATCACCAGGTAAAGTGTTCACAACTGTGTACGGTGCATTGGTTGGTTAGCTAAATCTCTAATCGCAGTAATGAGGAGACAAATGGGGAAAGAGGAGGTCAAAGCACATACACTTTAGTTGAAGTTGGTATTTCCATAAATGAAACCCCAATGTTTTGAGGATTTTGGGTTGCTATAACAAAAAACTGAAAATGCAGGCAGACATGCTTGTGCCTGCTATTGCATTCACGTAGCTGCACTTTAAACATCTCTATAGATTGAGCAGCTGTAAAGTGGCAATACAATGCTGGCGTTCTGGTTACTTGCATGTCAGGACCAGATCCAATGAGGCTAGAAAACCAGTGCATCAAAGCAAACTGGTAGAGTTAGACATCACAGGTAATAGAATAAAAAAGGACCTGGCTTGCTTCCATTGGCTTGGATTCTATATTGTAGTTTTTATAGTAAGCTCTGTGTGCAGTTAAATCAGGGTAAGTATTTTCAGTATAGAACAGGAGTATGTACAACCGTGCAGATTAACCTAATTCTGAAATTCAGTTTAAAAAGATTCTTTTTATTGCAGATATTACTTTCACTCCGAGAGTGTTTGAAAGTAGGAGGAATACAACTTGGAGTCATGGGAGCACTGGATGCCATTTTGCATTCAATGTCTGTGTGAACATGGCCTCAAAGAATTAAAGTACAAATCAAATGTTTTTCTTGTGGCTACTTCAGATGTATGCGCTACAGCTTAGCAGGGAAAAAAAAGTATGATTTTTTTTTTTTTTTTTTTTTTTTTTTTTGTAATCAAAGCATATTAATTGGGCCAGTTAAAATAAATAGTAGATATGAAAAATGCATACATTAGGAACATACATTTACCGGCCACTTTATTGCTTGGTAAAACAAATTTACTATTCAGCTAATCACATGGCAGCAACTCAATTAATTTAGGCATGTAGACGTAGTGAAGACAACTTCAAACCGAACATCAGAATGAGGAAGAAAGGGGATTTAAGTGACTTTGAACATGGCATGGTTGTTGATGCCAGACGGGCTGGTCTGTGTATTTCAAAATCTGCTGATCTATTGGGATTTTCACACACAATCATCTCTAGGGTTTACAGGGAATGCTCCGATAAAGAAAAAATATCCAGTGAGTGGCAGGTGTGTGGACGAAAATGCCTTGCTGAGGTCAAAGGAGAATAGTCAGACTGGTTGCTGTGATAGTCAAATGGTAGGGTTAGAATTTGGCGTAAACAACATGATACAAGGCAGGATGGATCCATGCTTTCAACTGTTCAGGCAGGTGTTGGGGGTGTAATGGTGTGAGGGATATTTTCTTGGCACCAGCAAGGTGTACCTGAAGAAGTGGCCGGTGAGTATATTTTCTTGAATTTTTTTATTTTTTTTGCGTAAAGAAAAATAGATGTCAAAAAGATGCATTACTGCATTTGTAAAGCCGTGGAAGAGCCACAGGTCTACTTTGACACACACCCTGTGTGGGCAGGGAGTTATTTTGTATCAGAGGTATGGTGGTTATCGCTAGCTATTAAAAAAAATAATGGGTGGATGTGTTTAAAAAGACCCTTGCTCTTTAAAGTGTGAATTGTAACAGTTTCAAGAATTGACTGTGTGATTTGGGTAAATTGTCAATGACATTTTAACATTTTTATACTCTTCTTCAGATGTTACTGTTCCAATCAAAACTGTGGAAAACAATGGAATATTTTTTGACCACTGTTACAGTGTGTGTTCTATACTACAAGTTGACCCTAAAATTCCAGAAACGGAGGGTAAGTGACTAATTGTCTGTCTTTTTTTTTTTTTTTTTTTTTTGGTTGAAAAGGCGCAAGGTTTTTTACTTTCATGCATGCTATGCATGAAGGTAAAAAACCTGTGTACAGCAGCTTACCCCCCCAGCCCTCCCTAATACTTACCTGGGCCCCATCACAATCCAGCGCACAAGAGCAGCGACTCTCTGGGGCCTCTTCCTCATGGGGTTAGCCAGTGAGGTGAGAGTGGGGGTGGGTGTGTGAATGGACACCCAGAGCAGTAGCTCGGGAGCCCCCATAGCAAGCTGCTAACTCTAGGAGCACTCTGCAGGAGAGAGAGGCCAGGAGTGTCAGCTGGGAATCCGAGAAGAGGATCGGGGCTGCTCTGTGCAAAACCACTGCATAGAACAGGTAAGTATAACATATTTGTTTAAACCACTTGCCAACGGCGCTATAGCCGAATGACTTCTACAGTGCGGCTGTCCAGTTCTGGGAGGGCGTCATATGACGCCCTACCAGAACGTGCCCCCAGCAGCGCGCACCCTGTACTGTCCATGATCACTGTGTCCTATGGACACAACTGATCACATGATGAGGTAAAAGGCCAATCACAGCAGCCTTTTACCACATGATCAGCTGTGTCCAGTGGCACAGCAGATCACAATGTAAATACTGAGGCTATCTGCACTGATAATCAGGGTACTGATGACCGGTGCCCACCAGTGCTGGCTATCCGTGCAGCCTTAACACACATCAGTGAAGGAGAAAAATTACCTGTTTGAAAAATTTTATAATAGAAACAAAGAAAAACGTTTTTTTTTTTTCTCCACATTTTTTTGCTTTTTTTTTTTTGTTTATAGTGCAGAAAATAAAACGCTAGTGGCAATTAAATACCACCAAAAGAAAGCGCTATTTGTGTGAAAAAAAGTATACAAATTTAATGTGGGTACAATGTCGCATGACCACGCAATTGTCATTCAAAGTATGACAGCACTGAGAGCTGAAAATTGGCCTGGGCACGAAGGGGGTAAAAGTGTCCAGTAGGTTAAAGTGGTTAAAAAAAATGCCATTAATATCACTTTAAACTATTGTTTGCAGGATTGTTTTAGGAAAAAGGGGCTTTTTTTTTTTTTTTTTTTTTTTTCTTTTTCTTTTTTTCAATTCAAAAGGTTTTTACATACAGTGTATACAACTTTTCGGCACGACAACACTCGTCCATAATCCAAAAGACAAAGAAAAATAGCAAACAGAACAAAGAATTAAAAAAAAGTACCAAGAAAGGAACTTAACAAGTGTTCTCTCCAGATGATGACTTAATCAGATTGCCATAATAGCACATGTAGTGGGTATAAATAGTAAGTACCACCAAAAATAACAGCATCCAGTTCAATAGCTTGCTGAGACTCATAGCAGGTTACAGCAATAATAGAGCAAATAAGGTGCCCCTAGTATCAGAATGTCTAATATGAAGTATACAAAATAAAATAGTTGAATGTCCTGAAATAGAAGGTAATGTACCCTCTTCTATAAGTGAGTGCAGAATCATGTGTTTTTCATAGCTCCATAAGGGTCAACCATCTACGCTAATAATGAACTGTTACCACATTGCATGTGTCAACCTGGTTATACAATAAAGTCAAAGTTAAGGGGCATCTTTAACCACCCTGAGACTGGCTAGCATACATTTACTTTGATAGCTTAAAGTGGTTATACCGGCATGATGCTTCCTGCCGATTTTTTCTTTCTTGTAAAAGCAATCCTAGCTGCTAATTGCTTTTACAGGCAGTGGAAGGTGTTTTTCAGTGCAGTCTTTTCTTGAATTTGGCCTGTTGTGGTTAAAACAAAACGTGAGGATAGACCCAATGGAGCAGTCTTTAGTCCTGGTTCACACTGATGTGATGCGGAATTCGCAGCAATTCCTGTGTGTTTCTCCCACTGCATCATAATCTCACTCCATTCTTGTGAACCGCAGTAGGTATCAATGTTAAAGTGGTATTAAAGGTTCGACTTAAAAAAATAAAAATAAAATCCATACTGATGAATATGTTATACTTACCTGCTTTACGCTATGGTTTTGCACATAGCAGCCCTGTCCACACAGAGCCTCGACTCACCCCCCTCTCTCGGCTCATTGGCTGACTGGCTGTGATTGACAGCAGTGGGAGCCAGTGGCACCCACTGCTGTCTCAGCCAATGAGGAAAGGGAGTCCCGGGACAGCCAAGGCTCTCCTGCACATTGCTGGGTCAACGGGGCTCAGTTACGTATTGGTGGGGGGCTGCTACACACAGAAGGTTTTGTTTTCTTCATGCATAGAATGCATTAAGATAAAGAAAAACTTTGGGCCTTTAGAACCACCTTAAGCACTATATACATTTGGCATGAAGGTGTGAGAGATACCATCTGCTGTGGGGTGGGGGGGGAGCAACACACAGAAGGTTTTTTTTTTTTTTTTTTTTTTTTTTTTTACCTTCATGCATCAAATGCATGAAAGTAAAAAAAAAACTTCTGCCTTTAAAACCACTTTAAGTTAATGACACCCCAGAATCAGATTACAAAACACAGTGCAATTGGCTAAATTGGATCGCTTGGGTGTAAAACCTATGCAATCCAATTGTAGTGCAACAAAAAAAAAAAAGGTGACAGCACCTTTTTTGTGTGGTGCTTTGCTATTTGAGCCATACAGAATGAATGCACTAGATGCAGTTCAGTGCTTTTTTTTCTGGATCAAAACTGCATGAAAGTGTTTTCCATGTATTCCAATGGCCCTAGTTCACACTATGTGCAGTCGGTTCCGGGTGCAGAAAAAAAGTGGAACATGCTGCATTTTTTCTGCACAGAACCATACTGGAACATAGCAAACCTCATCAAAACTGCACCGGAACTGCGTGTGGTGTGAACTGTAAGCAAAAATGTATTCGGAATGCATCCGGAGTGCATTTTTGTAGTGTGAACTGGTCCTTAAATCGCACTGCAAAGAATGACAGGTGATTTGAACAGGAATGCGGTGCAGTTCATGTCTAAATCACAAGCGGTTCCCTGCACCACATCAGTGTGAACCTAGACTTAAAGCCCATCTACAGTCCCCCCATTCACCTCACCCAGTTTGATTTAACATATGCAGTCAGGCACTTACAAAAGATCTACAGAATGCTACCCTTGTGTACTTTGAAACTAGGTGAATATATTATGAATGATTCCTCTTCCTTAGAAACCAGGTTGTAATTTAAATTTTTTAGAACCATAATTCCACAGTCCTTGGCATTAGTCTAAAAATGTTAGTAGTAAAATGATAGAAAATAAGTTATGGTAGGGTGGATTATTTCAGCTATTGTGTATTATTTGAATGAAAAATGCCACAGTCCTGTAATATGAAAACCCAGTAAAAATGTGTTGAAAAATAACATGCCACAGGTTTTTAGACATCCTTTCTTAGATCAGGCTGTCATTGTAGTGCTCCTAGAATAAATATGTTGCATTACGTATTGGTGGTTAATCTCAGGTGTACCATGTAAAATTGTAGACACCCAATTAAGACAAATATGCAGAAAAGTGCTACTGATATGATCTTGCAGAGGCCAGCAGCTTTTTCTAACAGCAGTATCTACATGGGATTGGTAAATAACATGTTTTGTTTGTTCTGCAGAGGAACAACCTAGTACCAATGGAGACAGTAGGGAGAATTGTGAGTCTCCAACAATAATTCCTCAGCCAATCCATGAAGATGCAGTAGTAGAAGTCCATACTGAAGAGCCGGAGTGTGTTCCTTCACCTGTAACAGAAGAAGAAATAAAGGACATCCCACTACAAATACATGAAAGTCCAGAGAGCAGTCCCTCCTCTAACCTGACAACACCACAAAAATGGCCACTGCTCAGGGCCAACAGCGCTGGTCTATTCCGTTGTGACCAGTGTGACTACAACAGCAAATACTTTTCTGATCTAAAACAGCATATGATCTTAAAGCATAAATGCACAGAGTCTCACCTCTGCAAAGTGTGTAAACAGAGCTTTTCTAGTGAAGACTTGCTCACGGAACATGAAAAGGTACATGAAGAGGATCAACTGAATTGTAAGCACTGTGACTACAAGACCAGTTCCTACGAGAGTCTCAGTCAGCATGTGACAGATGCCCATTTTAACGACTTTCTTTACTGGTGCGAACAATGCGATTTGCAGTTTTGCACGAGTAGTGAACTATACTTGCACTTTCAGGAGCATAGTTGTGATGAACAGTACTTATGCCAGTTCTGTGAGCACGAGACCAACGATCCGGAAGATTTGCACAGTCACGTAGTGAATGAACACACCTGCCGTCTTATCGAGTTAAGCGATGCCTATAACAATGGAGCACGTGGAGAATTCAGTCTCCTAAACAAGATCAGCTTTGATAAATGTAAAAACTTCTTTGTCTGTCAGGTGTGTGGCTTCAGCAGTAGGCTCCACACCAATGTTAATAGGCATGTAGCAATAGAACACACTCGTTTTTACCCACATGTCTGTGATGACTGTGGGAAGGGGTTTTCAGGCATGTTAGAGTACAGTGAGCATTTAAACTTGCATTCATCAGAAGGTGTTTACCTGTGCCAATATTGCGAGTACTCGACAGGGCAGCTGGAGGACCTAAAAACTCACTTAGATTTTCGGCATTCTGCAGATCTGCCCCATAAGTGCACAAACTGCCTTCTGAGGTTTGCATCTGAAGAAGAACTTAAAACTCATCACCAAACACACGAGAAAACAAGTTAGAGGATGCTGTCCAGAAAAAAAAGGTGTTTCTGGGCCAAGCAAAAGCAATATGCTGAGATTGGGTTGAGAGCTAAACACTTAAACACATCAGGCATCCTAGCTTCTTGTTTTTCAGATCATATTGTCAGAAATGGATAGAATGTGTTGGGAGCAAAATACTCTAAAACAGAATTTGTCTTTCCCACGAATGTCATTTGTGCAAAGGTTAAACACTCCTATTTCGAATGCAGTAGATGTATAACTCATTCTAGTGAAAGCATTGAAAATAAATCATATGCATGCTGGTGGAGATATTTATCAGGTTATGTCAGAGGATTATTTTTATATTCTCTCATGGCATTTTGTTTTTGTTGTAACGTTTGACTAGTGTATGTGTAAGTTTATGATGCGCTGGCTTGGTGTATGGAACACTTGGCATGGAGTCTAATGAAGATGACTTGAAGCAAGATATTCATCTTTTCTGTGCATGGATGTATTAAAGTGGGAAGGCTCTGTTGGTTTTACTGAACTGCATTTTGTAAATTTGTGTTGCACAAGTGAATGTTTGTATGTGATTGCACAGCATCCAGCTAATGTATTCCAGAATTTGTGTGGTTAATTAATGTGCTATATATAGTAACTTGAAATAATTTTTGTCCAAATCAAGCAGAATGTCATTAAATATTGTTGTGCCAGAAAAACCCCCCCACAAAAATAGAAAAGCTTGCTCTAAACTGTAGTATGAATTATAAAAAAAAAAAAAAAAAAAGTGTTTGGATTGTTATTGTCATGCATTTAAAACAGGCCTCCTCATTTTTGATTTTCAGCAATAAATGTATTTTCTTTATAACTTTCTGTTATACCATCACCTGGTGGTTGTTAGTTGGCAAATATGTTGCCAAACGTATTGGGACACCCCCCCTCTAAATCATTGGTTCTACAAACATTTGTGAAAGAATGGATCACTCTCAGGAGCTCAGTTAATTCAAGCTTGATAGGTTCCCACCTGTGCAATAAGTCCACCCGTGAAATTTCCCTGCTACTAAATATTCCACGGTCAACTGTTAGTGGTATTATAAGAAGAAGCAACTGGGAACAACAGCAACTTGGCCACGTAAAATGACAGTGGCATCAGCGCATGCTGAAGCGCACAGTGGTCGCCAACTGTCTGCAGACTCAATAGCTAAAGACCTCCAAACTTTGTGTGGCCTTCAGATTAGCACTACAAGAGTGCATAGAGAACTTCATGGAATAGCTTTCCATGGCCGAGCAGCTGCATCCAAGCCTTACATCACCAAGTGTAATGCAAAGCGTTGGATGTAAAGCACACTGCCACTGAACTCTAGAGCAGTGGAGACGTGTTCTCTGGAGTGACGACTCCAGTGTCCAGTGACACGTCTCTGTCTGGCAATCCAATGGACGTATCTGGGTTTAGTGGTTGCCTGGAGAATAGTACTTGCCTAACTGCATTGTGCCAAGTGTAATGTTTGGTGGAGGGGGGATTATGGTGTGGGGTTGTTTTTCAGGGGTTGGGCTAGGTCCCTTAGTTCCAGTGAAGGGAACGCTTAAGGCATCAGCATACCTAGACATTTTTAACAATTTCATCCTCCCAACTTTGTGGGAACAGTTTGGGGATGGCCCCTTCCTGTTTCAACATGATTGGGCACTGGTGCACAAAGCAAGGTCCTTAAAGACGTGGCTGAGCGAGTTTGGAATGGAGGAATTTGACTGGCCTGCACATAGCCCTGATCTCAACCTGATAGAACACCTTTGAGATGAATTAGAGTGGAGACTGTGAGCCAGGCCTTCTTGTCTGACATCAGTGCCTGACCTCACAAATGCGCTTCTGGAAGAATGGTCAAACATTCCCATAGACACACTCCTAAACCTTGTTCACATCCTTGCCAGAAGAGTTGAAGCTGTTATAGCTGAAAAAGGTAGGCCAACTCAATATTGAACCCTACGGACTAAGACTGGGATTCAATTAAAGATCATGTGCGTTTAAAGGAAGGCGTCCCAATACTTTTGGCAATATACTGTGTATATATACCCTATTTTACAAACAGAAATTAAGACAGGCTACAGAACAGTGATAAAGTATAACAGAGAGCAGTATCGTTATCCCCTCTCTGACACATCTGTGTTTACTGCACCCTGTGTCTGCATTTTAGTCATTCATAATATGCAGGCCATGGTGCTCTGTGGTATCATAACACACTGTAAAATGACTTTGAACAGGTCATGCAAACAGAGGGCACATTTGTAAAGCACAACTGTGCATTACAAATATACCTGTATGTGATTTTTGTGATAAGCTTATACTGCTGCTTTATAGCCTTTAAGTGTTGTTACTCTGACAAACCCAACTGCAAAATATCTTAAATGTCTGATTTTACAGTAAGGCTTCATTCACATTAGCGCGTATCCAAAATCACGCAAATTCCAGTGCAACTTCGATACGACTTTACATTCTTTGGACCAAAGTTGCATCAAAAGTCCCACCAAATTAGTGCGTGCACCTTTTCAAAATTGCTTACACATCATTGATTTCTGCAAGGCTCTAGTGAATAAACTGCTCCATTCATTCACACAGATACAGCCCTGTAATTGGTACATATCTGTTCTCTGTGCAGTCTGTTGAATCTTTATGGTAAACACATTTTCATATAGTTTAAAAACTAAGTCTTTGCCTTTCTTTAGTGTATTCTGCCTCTGCAGATTCATCATATGAACATTTAATGTTAAAGTTAAACTCTAGCCAGGTTTAAAAAAAAAAGTACTTTTTTATTTTTAATCGCCGACAGTGTAAGTACGTGAATCTGACCTGCAATCAACCTCTTGTAGTACTGTACAGCAAGCCTGGAGTGTGAGAAGAGGAAGCAAAGCAAGAATCAGTTCATGTGATTACAAGAAGCATAGTGACTGAGAGATGAGCTTATCACTGTGTTGTTTTCAGAATGACCTGGCCTCAAAAGTAGTGGGTTGAATGATGCTGGCTTTCAGGCTGAACATTTACCAATGAAAAAAAAGTTCTATTCATAACAAATAATTGTATAGAGAGTTCTTATTCCTTTCATAGGAAAAAGTAAAACAGTAGTAACAGCCTCTAGTTCTGCATTGGACAACAGAATTGCTACCATCTTATGAACATAAAATATTGGAAATAAAAGCAATTTTATTTTTTAGCTTTTGTTTAGATAGAGTAGGGAGGAATATCGAACACCTGTCACTTTTTGTTGCTGTTTGGGCCCCCTTCTGGGAGATTCACCCTCTCTATTTGTCCTGTTTACCATTATCAAAAAGTGAAAAGAAAAAATTTTGGCTTGACGTTAGAACAGCAATAGAGGGAAATTCTTACCAAAGGGTTCTGGTGACACACTGGCTTTCCTTCATTTTGGAGGGATTTCCTCTCCCTTACTGTCTTGGTTTTGGAGCAGGAGAGAAATCTCCCCAATAGGACACAGATGGCAAAAAAAAAAAATTACGGGTTATAATCCTCCCTTTGCCTTTTAGTTACAGTTTAATGCCCACCATAGCCGGCAGACCTCACTTTGCCCAGCAAGCACTACTTGTAACTCTGCTAATGAAAAACATCTAACACCCTAAGATCTGTATGTGATTCACTTTCTCATCCAGATCTCATATCCGTGTGTTCATTTCTTGCATCCCTTCCTTCTTCATGGTGTAATACAACTCAATACTATGACCAGGGGGACATGTAAACTTTATTTTAAAGGAAACCTGAGAGAAATGTACAGGCCACGTTTGCTGTCCTGTGAACATTTTAGCTGCCTGGCTGTCTGCTTCAGTATTGGGTCACTAGCCTAGAACAAGTATGGGGTTTGTGATTCAAAATATTGAAGCCAGGTAAGTAGCATTCTTGAAAGAGCAGCAGTGGCAATTTCTTTATTTCCCCCTACAGAATCCTCTTAGTATGTGCACATGGACGTGGATTAATCCAGACATTAATGGGCATGGAAGAAGCGGTCCCTCTGCAGCAGTCTGACACGACACTGCTGAGGCAGAGCTAGAGCCCTCTGTTCAGCAAAGTTCATTTTATCTGATTAACTGAGAGCTCTAGTTTTGGCCCAGTTGGGAAGGGGCTGTGTAACGATTATGCGCTATAGGGACATGGAACCTGTATGTGACAGCCATTTTTGTTTTTCATGAGCAGTAATTTTCCTCCCTCCTGAAAACTGGAATTTGTAGCTGTAACGTTTAACAAACTTCAAAAGAACCTATCTTAATTAAAACACAAATAGACCCAGTGTGCAGACCTGTCCAGGGTTGTAAATAACTAATTAGTCTTGGCAGGATGTCTGTTTCCACCAACCATGGAAAACACTTTCCTCTGCCCTATCGTAAAACAATAACTCAGTCAAGCAGTCACACATGACATTAGGGCCATTAGAGCTCTAGGAATGCAGAGTGTATCATAAAACGTCTATTTCACATGTAACCATTCAACATACAATTAATAGAATTCAACAGGAACAGGGCACATTAATATTAGGTATATATTTGAATAGGGAATATCATACCGAACAAATCAAGGTCATACCTGACTATGTTAGCACATAGAAAAGGGGAAAAAGCAATCTCTTCCCTTCTGGGTGACAAAGGTACGCTAAACCGGATGATTGGTCAGTTGTTCTCAGGCAACACCCCTTTGATATCATAGAAAAGGGACTGACCAGATCTAGTAAACAAGCTCTCGTTTAACATCAACCAAGAAACATCTTAATGGACTTGAGAGCCAAAACAACTTTTTTGCTCGGACAATTGGACCCTGCTAAAACCAGGACTTTGCAAGTATTCTGTCTTCTTAACTCCTTTCTTTTATTTCTCTGTTGCATTATTGTTCTCTTTGTAACATCCCTTTCTGTAAATATTTTAATTGTACCATTTTGACCTGTTTAGTAATAAATCTTATTTTGAAAAGTGTTGAAACTGTCTCTAAAGCTTTTAATGCAAACTAAAGAATCCCTGTCTCTTGAAGAGTGCTACTGTATGTAATAATA